GTCCTAACGGCACAGACAGTAACCTTCATATTAGTAAATCAATGCACACATTGGACCCAACAAAACCCAGCCCCTGCCCCCTCTCAGTAGTCTAATATTAGGTACTAATTCAGAGCTGACCCGCAATAAGCTATTATATTGCGCCCATATTTGCCATAAAATGCACATTAAGTGCATTCAATGCATACCCATTAGCAGTGAATATGAAATTTTAATTAATTCTCTGCTTTTCATTCTTCACTAAAAAGCACTTCTTTTACTATAAGATAATAAGCGCTTAATTTTAATCAAAATAATCATTATCTTGCAAACAATGAATGAAATGAAAAGAATTTTTGTGTTATAATTAAGTTATTTAAACAAATATATTAACAATAATTACAAAATTAAATAAATATCTTATACTTTATGAAATAAAAGACACCTTTTATGATGATAATAGAGAATAGAGTTTTAATTTTAGGCAAATATTTCATAAATTCTGTGATACATACAAATGATGATTATATTGTGAAAAGTACTGAATATATGGCTATACGGCTCATAACCAACCGTTTAGAGCATAATGTGAGGAGACTTTGATTTAAAGTAATTTGTTTTTTCACCAAAACTCAAATTCGTTGCCTTTATTCGTGACTCAAATTCATTGAAAATCTTTTATAACAAAAAATATTTAATAATATTATGTAATGATGTGATGGTGTGAACACCAGAATAGCTAATATATATGAATATTCTGTTATTATGATTATATTAGATTTTAAATTAACGCAACACTGACTCCCACTCCATAATAGTTTTCCAATAAGTGGCGGACTTTACAGAATATTCACGAGTTTCTAATTAATTAAGTATTAATTATTGAATGTCTAATTAATTAAATTAGTCGAAAATATGATTACATTAGAAACGAAATGAATGTAATATAAGGCAATGAAATGTATTAGTGATATAGAAATTGACGTGAAATCCGCCACTCATTGATGGCAAACATGACACATGCATACAGTATAGTGTAGTGAAGTGTTTCGGGTGTTTATATAATTAATTTAATGCCTTCACTGGTGAATGTGTTTGTGATTAATCACCTTTTATTCAATTACTATACATTTTCAGGCACTTTAATCAGTGAGTTCGCACGTCTGGGCCCTCCAGTGGGCTCTGATATTGACACAAACGGAGGGCTGAATGTGAGCTCCAGTACCGTATCGGCCAAGAAGAAGAAGAAGAAGCGCAGACACAGGTATGGCATGGGTTTGGCTATGGCTATGGCTATGGCTATGGGTATGGGGTATGGCATGCTATTATTGATCGCTAATTTGCTCGCAAACTAATACTAATTTAGTTAACTCTCTGTTCGTATAAATGATGTTTTGATTAATTAATTTAATAATCAAAAACTAATTGAAATCTCAAACAATGCATTGCAGGCGCTATATAACAGTCACACATACAGTGTATGTGCCGTACATTTACCACATCAAGTACTGTACTGTACATAAAAGTGCAAGTTCAATTTTTTCATTAGTATCATAAATAATTTTCTAATCGAGACCTATATTTGTTAGCCGTTTCTCAGTTTCATTGCTTAATTGAATATATATTTGATTTTGTCCTCAAAACGAAGCCAAGAATCGGAACAAAACTTTCTTTTTAAACTCAATTAATAATAATTGGGTTTTCATTGAATTGATCGCTCGATCGGATTCTTTGTCGGAGTTGTTGTTCAATAGACGGCTATAATATTAAGTCAATTAAACTAATAAGTTATTTACTCCATGTTTGCCGTTCACTATCGCTATATTTACTTAATATTTAGTTTGTTTTATACGAGTCCTCCACTCATTGTTCATTTGACAATAATTAAGTAAAATGTTTTCATGCTTTTTTCTATTCAACTGTTTTGCAAAACAATTTGTGGAAATATTGACAGAAAAAGCTGTTAAATATGCTATTAATTGAAAACGAAGGGAATTATAATAACACATACAATACAGTTAATATTGAATGAGCCATACCTCCCATTCCTGTTCAATACACTACTTCATACAATTGAATCAATACAATCCATTGAATGAAAAAAGTTCATTATTTTCATTTATAAGCATTTATATTCTAATACTGTCTATTGTTAATTTAAGTAAATTATATATCTATTAAAATTATTAACTTATTAAATACAAACTTACTAAAAATTAAGATTACAGTAAAATTACTATTTCTTACAATTATCTATAAAAATAAGTAAAATTCAATAATCTATGGACACATAGAGAGCTAACTGTATGGTTATAATCGTATGAATGAGAGACAGACACATAGCCCGTCATAAGTAGGAGTGGAGTATAGTTTTTTCAATTATTATTATATTGTCATTAATCATACAAATCATGTAAATTGTATTGTAGTTATTGTAACGCAGATGTAAGTCATGCAAAACACCCCAACATTAGGGGCCGACAGCTATTAAAATAATGGGACACTTTATGGCACTTTGTGGCCGTCATTATCGGCTCCACCTAAACAAATGATAGGGAATTGTGTTGTTTTATATGTTATATAAAGGCGTCGACTTATAAAAGACACACAAATCGACATCAACTCTACGTTCAGTCAAAAGCGAAACAATCAATAAATATATCTTTAAATGAAATTTACTTTAAGATATGTTCACATACATAGCACATACATGCTATACATAGCAAATCAATTTTTATTTGTGGTGTCAACTGTTTTAAATACCTGTAAATCTATTTAATTAAGTAATCATGTTATTTCAATATTATTTTTATTAGTTTATCCTTTTATTGAAGATTTGAAATACATTTTTATAATTTAAAAATAACTGATTATAACTGATTAAATAAAGATTATTTAATATACAGTATAATCTAGAATATTTAAATGTAAAATATTAAAAATATAGTTAATAATAGCCAATTAATATATAAGAATATAAGATACACTTAAAATGAGCTTTATTAGAATTTAGGATAATTATCAACTGATTATATAGTATATTAAAAAGTATAGTATAGTATAGTAGACGACTGTTAATTGACTGTCTTTTAAAGGTATAGTTTTGAAAGTTTGTAAAACCAAAATACTATTCCTATGAATATGACTCGTAAGAGCAAAAAAGCCAATTTTGTCTAAACAACACTGATGTCTGAGTTGCAAATATTTGCTTTTGAACTTAATTTGCACTTTCTTTGCACTTTCAATAACTAATTTGTTTGACTGTTTGCGTGCAAACGTGCGCTCAAAACGCTATGAACTTCACTTAACTAATGGATATAAAGCCAATGAAATGCTGTTAACATTCAAATCATAAATTATTAATAATTAACACTTATATTCATATTCTATTAGCTTTTATAATAATTTTAGTAATACTTAAATTTACATAATATTCTAATAACTTATATTTGAAATTAGGGACTAGGTTGTGATTTTTGTACAAAATATACAGAATATATCAGAAATACACCTATTGTTTATAACGTATTGATGATATAAATTTATATATTTGATTACATTTAAATAATAATTATATTAGTTATAAATAACAAAATATTCAAACTGAAGGTATTTATTAGTCCATATGAAATATATACAATATGACAAATTCTACATTATATGAATTGTTGGTTAATGTTATTTAATATAAAATGAATTGTCTGTATGTTTCAGGACTATATTCACGAGCTATCAGTTGGAAGAGCTCGAGAAGTCCTTTAAAGAGGCTCATTATCCCGATGTCTACGCCCGGGAAATGCTATCACTTAAGACTGATCTGCCAGAGGACAGGATCCAGGTAATACATCCTTTCATTACTTCATTCACAAAACAGTCAATTATTATATGTGTAAAACATATGCTTTATATTGTATTCTGTTTTATAAATTATCTTTACTTTATTATGAGATAGAGTTTGTAATCAAATAATAGACTAAAAAGCAATGAATTATTGGACTAAAAATGATTTCTGAAAGAAAATGACCGAAAAGTGAGTGATATGAACGACATATGATAACAGATTTTAAATCAAATAAAATCTATTGATTTTTCTACTGTATTCAATGGACCGAAATATGGTTTTGTTTAAATGTTTTATGTAATATTTTTAGTTTAAATTTTGGGTAGAATTTAATGCAAACAATAGCAAGAATTGATAATAAAATAGAAAACCATTTGTAAAATGATTTCTGCGGACAAACAAATTGAATAAAAATCGTATTAAGAGTGGAATGAAGACTAAGTTTATTCACAAGTAGTGAAGTGCCGGTGCCCTCCCTATGTATACCATCCCTCTAACAGTAATAGCTTTGAATGTATTGTCGAAATTATGTATACGACTGTCTGTTCTCTCTTTTTTTGATAATGTCTTTGCGGTTGTATTTAATGGACCAGAAATTACTGTCAACCAAACACTGGTCTCAACTAAAATATTTCATATTTATATATATTGAGAGAGAGAGAGAGAGAGAGAGAGAGAAAATAGAGAGAGAGAGAGAGAGAGAGAGAGAGAGATCAGTCATTTATTATTAGATTATTTGTGAAACACATTCAAGAATTTTTATCAAATTATGATACGATTTATGATTTAATAAATCGATCGCTTAAATAGCGATTAGTTTGTAATTGAAAATGTTTTTTGCAATATGAGTGATCAAATGATAATATGAGTGAGTCTACTCAGTGTTTATTTATTTGTTCCTCGGTAATAATAATACATTTTTGATTCATTAACTAAATTTTATTAGGAATATGTAATACGATATTATAAAACATTAAGGCATACGATATACCAGTTTCAAACATTATGAATAGTGAGATCATTAGGTCTTATGTCTAAGATTAATAGAAAATATGAATTAATTGAAATGGTACTGGGTACTGTAATATGTTTAAGGTAACGAGTTTTAAGCAGTGAACTGTAGTGAGCACCTGACGGTCACTGAAATGGCAATCCCTATATCGTATAGAAAAGAGTTTCAAAGTGAACATAAGGACAGTGGTGTTGATGAGTAGAGTGAGTGGAAAGTGATGAGAGTGTGTGGAGTGTGTGCGCATCCGTAGCACTGGTAGTGTACTGTATTATAGCACTGGTAGTGTATGATAGCGTATATTCCCAATGGAGTAGTCGATGAAAGAAATGGTAAATTTTTGTGCCGTTGATAGCTATTCATTGGTAGCGTTAATGTGCAGCAAAAGTAGCTTTTTTGCTCTCATTATACGCTCTCTGATAGATGTGTTGCCTATTTGTCGTACACTCTATTCAATTACAGTAATTGGTATCTCAAACGTCTCGCGACTCCAGGCTATCGTTGCCATCAGTAGAGCCACAGCTTATTATTTTGTGAGACATCACATCCCATATCGAGTTATGCTATTATTCAATACATATCTCTCTATAACTTTAATTAAGGCCTCCAAATGTCTTATCTTTCAATTAATATCGAGAATATTATTATAATTATCATTAATTCTAGCATTTATTAAATAAATGTACAAAAGTAAGAATAATATTTATACAAAAGTGCATTCATTATTTAAGAAACCTTTTTGTTTGAGTCTATAATTACAATGCAATTAGTAATCATTTGTTCATTATATCTATTGTTCATAACTTATTATTTTATTCAAACAAAATGTTAAATTTATAGAAACATGAAATGAATACGTGAAAATATACGATACGGTTATCATTATTAACGTTACATTGCACTCAATGGAAAGGTTGACATTTTATGAGTATATAAGCTATTAGTGAACTAAAAGAAATATAATATGTCTGACTATGACTACAATTGTTTGTTAGATATGATATAAAATAGATCTCATCTAATATTATATAATGTCTTCCAGTATCCAGTTCTATACCGAACCCACAGATATAGGGGCCTTATTTGATGTCTTGTTGTCTCCAATACTGTATCAAAGAATTCAATGACTTTCCACTCGAATGAACAATCATTTGATTTTAATTTAGTCATTGCTTTAAAATATGATCATTTGTGAAACCACTATACAATAAAAATGATATAAATTACTAGAATACACATTAAATGACAATTTCAAAAACATTTCCATCATTACATGAAAGGTTTGGTTTCAAAACCGGAGGGCAAAGTGGAGAAAGACTGAAAAGTGTTGGGGAAAGAGTACTATAATGGCTGAGTACGGGCTGTACGGTGCGATGGTTAGGCATTCCCTGCCACTGCCGGAGAGTATACTGAAATCGACGGTCGAGAGTGAGGGGCCGGCGTCGTGCGCGCCCTGGCTTTTAGGTATGTATGACATAACCTATGGTTTAAAGAAGCCTTCGTTTCTGATGGTAGCGGACCCACGATTACCGACATTTGCCTCTTCGCTGACAGGAATGCATCGAAAGTCATTAGAGGCGGCCGACAAACTCAAGGACTGCGACTCCGACGGCGAGTCCCGCGACCACAGCGACAGGAGTGCTGTCAGCCCTCCACTCGTGTCGTCGCCCCGAAGCGCGACAAACGACGTCCAAAACGCATCCAACGACCGATCGGTAGCCCTTTCCCCATCGATACCCACAGCCAACTCTATTTACAATTCAGTGCTCAATACTAACGATAAATGTATTATCAAAGAGGAGTTGAGGACCAGTAGTATAGCGGCGCTGAGGGCCAAGGCGTTGGAACACTGCGCTAAAGTCAGCCAAATCGCTGTCAAACCCAACGACAGCACCGCTCTGTTTGTCACCAATAGATCCCCGCATCCCGTGTCCAGTCCTCCCAACTCTCATTACCACCACTCGTCACCTCCAAGACATCACATCTTTTAGAAGTCACTTGTTTTGCATAACAAACTGTAAGAATTTAATGAATTAGTGTTTCATAACTAACTCAACACTTATTATTGACACGAATTGATTCATTTATAGACAAAACTATAAAATCTTTTAAAACGATAAAATCATTATTTGAAACACTAAAACACAATTGAATAAAACGATTCAAACTAATGAGCAAATAATCCCCAAAATGTACAGAACTTTCATTGAATATATATACAGTACATTTACTATAAATAATTAAATGTTTTTAATATAATTTTCTCATATTATGTAACATTATTAATAAGAATTAGAATCTGTTTAGAAAGTTATTTATAATTATTATTAATTTAATTATTATGAAAATCATTGGATTTACAATTGAAATAAAATAATTTGTTTTAATTAATTTAAAAATAATTGAACCATTAGCGAAAAATATATAAACCATTGAATCCGTTTAATGATTTCTAATTGAATAAAAGTTAGTTTTTTATTTTATTCAATTAATTTCCTGTAAATTAAGTAGTATTAAAGTTGTGTTTACATTGAATAAGACGTTAATTTTTTAATTAATTACTCTTTAAGTCATTAGGAAATGATTTCAAATAATTTGCTAACAAAGTTTCAACTAAAATCTAACGCTTAGCTTTGCTATTCTTATATAACATATATTTATTGGTTTAAAAATCATACAGAATCTCAAGAATCCATTTCAATTAATATGCAAAGAATATGTATTGTGAATACAAATACAGTATATTATTATAGATTCGATTTGATTCCCATTTTTTGAGCGTTTTTCACAAATATATTGAACAAGAATGCAGAGAAAGTGGGACTGGAGTTGAGTTGAGGCCATATGTCAAACACGTAAACCTGCGAACAGTTCAACAATTGTCAGTTGAAGTAATTTCCCCAAAGTGTGGATTCCCTCCCAAACACATTACGCTTATGAGGTGCTGAGGCAGCTGTGGATGAGCGCCTATACACTCTCTACTAAAACATGTAGTTTTAGATCTCTGTTACTCCAACACCACTAAAAGGGCATAAATGCTACCAATGGTACCAATGCTCCAACACTTCCATCAATAGATGAAACACATATTCTATCCATTCATCGAGTGCTCAGATTTCGGGCACAAAACACATACAAAATCTTATCAATTGAAAGAATATTAGGAAAATAAAAAATGATTCCGTGTTTTGTGTGCTTGCTAACAATGAGATAATAGTGTAGAAATGTTTTTTAGAAATTTTATAGAATTTATATTTATTTTTAAAAGTATTTCAATGAATGTGTGACCGAATACTGAATAGTTGTGTTGTGTATGAACTGTACAATGGAAGTGGCAAACGGTAGGGAACGGGAGACTGAATTTTGTTCACTTTAGTGTTGTACAACTTTGTAATATTTGTGCCGTTCATAGACTAGAAAATGTATTGCAAACGCATTGCAATTCTCGGTTGGCCTCCAAGTCATCATTTTAGAGATGCGAGAGAGAGAGAGAGAGAGAGAAAGGGAGAGAGAGAGAGAGAGAGAAAGGGAGAGAGAGAGAGAGAGAGAGAGAGAGAGAGAGAGGTTTGGTGTGAAAGTTAATAAAGTAAATTGCATTGCATTTTGTCGTGAATAACATTGCATTATATGCTAACAGTTAACACAACTGTATGGCTGAGGAGTAAAGCATTTGTTTTTGAACATCAATTGGAAAGAGAGTTAGAATTAGTTGTTTAGTTGTTTGCAATAATTTGGTGTAATTTCTATTAATGGATTGTTTCGTTTGGGAATACTTTTAGGCTTTTATAATACGATTGCCTCGAAATGATAGCACTTTTGCCGGAAAATAGATGAGACGGACGGCCAATAATACAATGACTTGTTTTGGCAAAAATTGATATAATTATCCGCTTAAGATATGACTAAAACAAATACAATTCGTGTAATTATTTAATTAAATCAAATAAAGACTATAAAAGCGAGTAAATAATGGTTTGTTAAGACATGAATGCAATGATTTGTGGTTAAGAAAAAAATGAAGAAAAATGAAATTCATTTGTAGCCATAAAGTGATGTTTAGTCATATTTGTTGGTCTCATTTGCAGCGACTGTATAATGAAATGCATAACTGCATAACTGTCCCATTTTGAGGACAAATTAGATATAAATGTGTACCAAATAATCAGATTATAAGTTAGTCTGTATGCGAACCACTGTAATAGCATTGAATGAAAGTTTTGTTTGAGAGTCTAATAACGATAATGTGAATGAAAGCAAAGCCTAACCGTCTTAACGATGATATATCGCTATATCTATCCGTCACAGCCGTAAAGCGGTAGTTATGGCCTAACACACAGTCGTCCCTTAATAGCACTCTAATTCAATTATATAGAATTGCATCACATCTACACCACATATACACTACCAGTGCTCTGATACTCTGCAATACACCAATACATGCCATACCATACCATATCCTACTCCCGGTCTTCACACAATGCACTTATAGACAACTGATTCCCAATTTACTGATCGCAACATCACTCATCACAGTATTAGGCATTTCATTCATACGATATTTGATATACATTTGCATTTTTATACAAAATATTGAACGTTTAAAACTAAAGCAATAAATTATTAACAATTTTCATAATATTCTCCAATTCTAAACATTTTTCTCTTAATTTAATTGTCTTTTATAAATATAGGCAAAGTAGACATTAATTTCCATAAACAGTCCTTTAATTCCCTTTAAATGCAAATCGATTTAACTGTCAGTCAAATGTTTTTTGTTAACAAACTAAATAATCATTAATTTTGTTTGACTTTATTCTTAACATTAATCTTTGTCTTAAATAAATCTGAACTCAAATAATCATTAATTTTTATTAAATAATGATTAATTCAAAATTCTATTACTGTAATTTTAATTAGATTTTAAATTAATTTTGCATTTGTTTAGTGAAAGTAGAAGTAAATAGTTTTACATAAAAATACTAATAATATATTTTTGAATGTTGTGGTGAACGATGTGATACTAGTGTTGAAGTAAGTGTTGAATTGATTGGAGTTTTTTGGCGAAACCGCAGTTAATGGCTTAAGTAGATTGTGTCGTACGATATGACACAAACAATTTGCAAATTCATCAATTGTGAGACACACTTATAATCCATACAAACACTCCACACACCAAACAAATCAATAGAGAATACAATGACTGCGAGAGAGAGAGAGAGAGAGAGAGAGAGAGAGTGAGTGAGAGAGAGAGAGAGAGAGAGAGGCAAATGAATGTTGGGTACAATGGAGTGCATCAGTTGTGGAGTAGTGCCGGAGTGGCAGCTATTTTGCTAAGCATTCACTCCACAGAATTAGTGCTAAAAAGCGATGATTTTGTCTGAAAGACTAATTCATTGATTATGTCGGACACAAAAGACATCAAATAGATGTCAAAATTCATTACTTGCTATCATTTGATTCATATTACGAATATAATAATTTAATATCAAATTCACCGATAATTCAACTATATAACTTTTATTACAAATATATTCTTATTTAAATAGTCTTTCATATAAATGTGAATCATCAAATTCTATATAAAACCAAATTGTTTTAAAACCATACTAAAAATTATCCATATTTCTAAACGTTAGCACAGAAATTAGCATTAAATAAACCTAAAACCAATATTAAAAATAAGATCTATATATGGATGATAAGCATTATGAGTTTGAGATCAATTATAAAATTTGTTAGAATTTAAAACATATCAAGAATAACTTATAATTTGATATTTGGTTGAAATGAAAATATTTGGTTCATTTAATTGATCATATGATGCGTTGACATAATAAAAATATAGCAATCAATTAGAGTTTGTTGAGAACATTACCCCATTAGGGAAGCAGTGCATTGACTGCATCTTAATTTGATTTTCTTCCCATTTATGTTGAGTTGGTTTCTCAGCATTTAGTAGTCGTGTCTTTCCTTCTCAATGAACGTTAAATAACTTTACTCTTAAACACAAACATCTATTGTCTGTATTTAATAAACTCAATAACACATTATAATCAAGCGTTGACTCGAGAATTATTAATTCATTAATAGTTTGTATTTATTTCTAAAGAATACTAATTGCAATGAATTTTAGCAAATATTAATGAGTTTCTAAATGAAAATGTAGTCAAATCTAAAATCTTATCGAAAACAAAAAATTTTCACTAGTAATGATCAAATAAAAACATTTACCCAGAGAACTCATCAATAAAGGATTTGATAACTGTCCACACAATTAGTTTTCTGCCATAATTTAATGCTATTAAACCACAGTATTTAAGTACATTAAGCGATTCAATAAGTTTTCAAAACTAATAGGTTGTCTGGAGAAATAAACAACAAACTGTTGAAAACATGGACTCATTTATATGTTTACAGATAATTAGAATTGAATCTCTCGTTAAAAACTTCAATTTGTCTTTTAGAGGATGTTTTTCAATAGAGATTTAGATTATTTTCAGTTCATTTGTTTGAAAAGTATTATTACTTTAGAGTTAGTTTTGTTTCTAAACCATTAAATATAGCGTTGAAATAGAGATACAAGAAATTTTGTCTAACTTTCAAATAATATCAATATTTTTGAGAGAAGTTTGTGATGCGGAACTTTATTCATAAGAAATTTCAAATCAAATATAGTTTTATCAGATTTTCATCCTTTTATAAGATTTGCTTTTATGATCTCTCTTTCATAACTTTATTGATTTAATATGTTTTATGCAAANAATATAGCGTTGAAATAGAGATACAAGAAATTTTGTCTAACTTTCAAATAATATCAATATTTTTGAGAGAAGTTTGTGATGCGGAACTTTATTCATAAGAAATTTCAAATCAAATATAGTTTTATCAGATTTTCATCCTTTTATAAGATTTGCTTTTATGATCTCTCTTTCATAACTTTATTGATTTAATATGTTTTATGCAAAACAATATCAAAAACATATTTCAAATA